CCCCCCACACGGCCCCCATGCGGCCCGCCCCCCCCCCCGCCAGGCCCGCCGCCTCCTCCAGGAGCCCCGCCTCCTCCACCAGCACCCCCCCTGCCTGTTGGACTGTTCTCCCCCACAGAGGACCGTCCCCTCTCAGGCCTGGCCGCTGCCCTCGCCGGAGCCAAGCTGCGCAAAGTGCCAAGGGTAACATTTGATTAGTTATTTGATCTGTGTGTGTCACTTTAACATAATGAACCAGAATGTTTCACTCCATATTTACGTGTTTTTTAATACATCTCCATTGTATTTACCAGTACAATCATAACATAATTACCTGTAAATAACAATAAGTCCATGTTTTTCCCCTTTGTTTCCATGTAAATAAGTACAAATATATTACAAAATATTTATATTTAATGAAATATATGACAAAACATCTCTGACATGAGCATTTTTTTCACTTTAGAAATCATCATCAACCGGGCCGTATTGAAACTCCCTAGTGGGCCGGTTTTGGCCCGTGGGCCATATGTTTGACACCCCTGCCTTAGAGTCCTAACATGTTTCAGTTATTAAAATCAGACACATTTTTAACATTAGAACATCTGTCCTAAGCTTTTTGGTTTATCCTCTTGTAGCAGACTAGTTACACAAGTTCATTTTTAAATAATCTTACGTACCAAATATCACGCTTCATACAAAAGGCACCTTGACTGATTGTATTAATTTATGCTTCTGTCTCCTAAGAGTGAAGAAGCAGCTCTGGCAGCAGCGATATCAGGAGCAACGGGGGCCAAATCTGAAGCCAGAGGCAATGGTCCTCTGCCCGGGGGAGGAGGTCTCATGGAGGAGATGAGCGCACTGTTGGCCAGAAGGTATGGTCACCTCAAAAACAGAAATGCAGAAGTCCTGAGATGCTTCAGACATTAAATAAATTCCAGACATTTTAAGCAAAATATAAGGGATAGTGTCCAACAGTTACTCTCAAAAATGGTTATGGTTGTACTGCAGTGTTCATCAACTAGTGGCCCGTGGGCACAATCCAGCCCACTGACCTATCAAATTTGGCCCACAACTGGATTCCAAAATTGTGAGGATTAAAGAGAAAATATAATGTGGTCACCACTCTTGAAGCAACTAAAAAAAACAACAACTTAAACTTAAATAACTATCAGTAAATTCCACCATTTATCATCTATTTGCATAAGTGTCCACCCCCAAGGTGTCTGTCTAGCAAAATTCTGGGCCCTTTGACAAATATAGTAGTTGACTCTAGTGGTATTTGTATTCCTTTATGTTAAAATATTTGATCATAATAAAGCCATTTTGTTATCTTATTGTTATAAGAAGGGGAACTGGAAGCAATTTGTTTGTCTTTCAGGAGAAGAATTGCAGAGAAGGGCTCGTCACCTGAACCTGACCAGAGATCAGTGAGTATCACAGGTCTCCCCAACATGTCTGAAAGTTATTTTCAGATCATTGGATTTTAATGGGACATTTAGAAACAATAGCTTGTCTGTTTTCCCAGTGTGTTGGACTGAACACAGTAAAATGTATTTATTGAATTTCATCACTATGTGAGTGTCCAGCATGTATAAAAAAATCTATATATGAAAGTTTTGGAGGGCATACATCTAATTATGTTTGTTTTAAATATATATACATACATATATATATATACACATATATATATATATACATATATATGTAGAAGACAAAAATATGATATGTAAATATTAAACCAATAGTTAAAAAAATATACCAAGAATAAAGTATAGCAAATTGCCATAGCATTAGAAAATTAGCTCTATGTACATGAGGATTTGTATTTCCTTACTGCTGACTTTTGCGCATATAAAAAACATTCAGTGTAAAACATACTGACAGTGTGTACAGTGATTGCACGTATGACTGCTTGTACATGTATGTGTACAAATGTCTGTATACATACATAAATACATACATATACTGTATATACACATATATATTTATTTTATTTTTATTTTTTGGTATACTACAGACAAGTGCAAACAACACAACCGTGTTTTCTTCTATGTTTTCTGATTAGTTCATCAGTGACCAAACAGTGTCACTCACTGTATCTTTGACCTTTCATCCCCTTTGTCACTCTGTCCAATAGGAGGAGGGAGAAATAAACACAACCCCAAAAATGTCAGCCTGTAGCACACCAGGTAAGTGACAGAAGAGCGCGCCCCATCACAGTCTTCACAACCTACGATCGCTGCGGTTAAAATGCATCTTCCTCACACAAGCGACGAAGATCCAAGTTAGAATTTTACTACTTACATAGCTCTTCTGCTGTACCTTTTCATCTGCTTTCTAAAAATAAAAAAGACATTCAGGTCATTCGGTAAGTAGCCATATTTCCTTTTTTGTTTTGTTTTTTGATTTTCCACAGATATGCCCAGAAAGCCATGGGAAAGAACAAACACCATGAATGGTAGCAAATCTCCCGTCATTGGAAGGTACTCCACTTCTCTGCAACTCACACATCTTCCACTGAAACAAATGTGTTCTTTGTTCAATGCTGCTTTTATAAAGTCTAAAACTTGTAGAGATATTTGATTGTTAAGCGTTAGCGTTAGCATCTCATCTTGGAATTCTTTCTCATGCCGTGTCTGTGTTCTGAATGGCTAGCAGCAACATTACTTAACACCACCTATCATGAAACATCAAAAACATAAGCATCAAAAAGTGTTAGCATGGTGCTAACACTAGCTGAGGCCACTGAAAGCTGCCTAACATCACTAAAGCTTATCATGTCTTCTTCTGCACCTTGGATGTGGCACACCGAACGTCCTGCTGAGGTGTCTGCGTGTGAATGAGCAGGAGAGCAGAAAAAAATTATTTTATTATTATTATTATTATTAGATCACTAGATTTGTTTGGCACTTTCAAGCAGCACAACCATATATACTGTACAGCAGCGGTCCCTAACTTTTTTTTTTTTACCAAAGACCGGTCGGCCAATAATACTTTCACTGTTGAAACGTCATTAAATTTTCAAAATAAAACGTCCTTTAGACTTTATTTTGTTAGTTTTGAAACATTGATAGTTGCTGCATATATCGGTGTTGGTTGATATCGGAATCGGAAATTAAGTGTTTTGGTAATATCGGCAAAAAGGTAACTTCCCTNNNNAACTTTGGTTACAAAATAAACCCTAAAAGAAAGTCATGAAATACAGTGCAGGGTAAAAACCGTATCCTGAAAACTTTCATATGTGTACACCGAGCAGTACTGCAGTATCTACTACAGTATCTACAGCAGCTTAGTTTGGAGATTGTCACTCAATGATGATGAGTTTCTACAAACAGGGTCATCCCTGAGCCATGCAGGGGTCAGTGGGCAGGAGACGAAAAGTGCATAGAAAGACACGCCGCTGTCATTTGTAAAGTCAGTGTCTCTGCTGCTCACACAGAAGAGAGTCTCCGTGGAGATTTCCCATGGGAGCAGATTCCTCCAACAGGTAGAGAGAAACAAATCTATGGGGAGATGGAGAAATCCTTTTTCTTTATACCCAGTCTCCCCCTTTTTTCCCCCCTCAAGGTTTGCTGTGGTGGTCATTTTTAAAGAGGAGTTGATGTTGAGTGCTTGGATGAAGAGTTTGAAGTGACTAGTGTTGTCTTCATCAGCCTGCAGGAGCCAGCTCTGCTGTTTGATATGTGGCGGTTTTCACACAGTCGATGTCTAGGAGCTGATGTTAGCTTTACTAACAGCACTTTTCCTTTATTTTCGTTGGATGCATGCTGCCCGTCCTTTTCCTTTCTTTATCACAGATCCTTCTGACCCTTTTCCTTTCTTTAACACAGGGGCGTCAAACAAATTTTGGTTCACGGGCAACAAGTACAAGTATATTCGATATTTATTATTATTATATATGGCGTCAAACTCATTTTGGTTCACGGGCAACAAGTACTAGTATATTCGATATTTATTATTATTATTATATAATATTATTCAATGAAATGTAAATTTACCAAAATTATCCTGAACATGTAGTGTTTGTGTATTTTCAAAATGTATCAAGCCGACCAAATTGAACACCCTAGCAAGCCAGTTTTGGTCCGTGGGCCGTATGTTTGACACCCCTGCTCTAAAAAATTTTTTTTTATTTTTTTTGACATAGCATTTTGTTGGTAGCATAAAGAGGAGCGTTTCATATCTTATGAAGCCATAGAAAGAAATCATCTTTCTCAAAAAAAAACATACACGTACATAGTGCTTACACATATACATACTTACGCTCTAGAAATTAAATATAAATGGCAACATTTTTTTTTTAATTTTGTTTGTAGTCCTAGGTGTAATGCCACGCAGTTCTGCCTCTGTTCCAAAAAATTCTAACTCTAAGCTGTAAATACATGAAGGTCTTGACGTGTGCATCACATGTTCTACGCCCATCCTATCAAAGACGCAAACATTAAAAGCGGTGTCCGCCCATCGCTGGGTAGACCTGGCACGGTATTATCGTTTCCCAGCCAGATCAGATCCAGCAGGCATTGACAGATAAGGCCTTGCTGTGTTTGGAAATGTGTGTACAGTGTGTGAAAAACCCTTCATATATTAGAGTGCGAGCAGACGGGCTGTTTTGATTGGAGCTTATTGGGGGAAAAAAAATAAATTTAATCATTACTACACCTTTTAAATTTAATTTTACTTCACATTTGTTGTACATTTACATTTATGTACGCTTTTAGCAGTCCAACAATTAAAAATAAGGACTAAAATCATGATAAATGTTCACATTAAAGCTGTGTTTTTCAACCTTGGGCTCTAGAAATTGGTTAAAAATATATAATATATATTAAAAAATATTTTTCCACCTAATTATTATTATTATTATTATTTAAATTATGATTGTTTTCATTCACTTGGATGAATATAAATCGAGGTCAAATAAAATGCAACACAGGAATATCTGTGTGTGAAGCATCTTGATTGACAGCTGCGACCATGTGACCCGCACGAGTGACAGCTTCTTGAGTTCCCTTGAGAACATTACATACTCCGTATTTGCAGCACAGTATAAAAAACATGATCTAGCCCTAGCTCTATATTTAAAAAGAGAAAATGTCTCCGGGGTCACCAAAATATTTGTGATGTCAACATGGGGTCAAGAGCCAAAAAAAAATTGGGATCCACTGTGTTCAAGTGTTAGAAATGGTATATATAAACACATAAAACACAATTCTAAAACTGTGTTTCCCAGCCAATGTTAGAACGACGGCAGGGTAAAATGGTGGTCTAACAGTTAGATACATACAGCGAGTTGCTGGTTAAAATTCTTCTACTAATCTTGCTCGGCAGTATAGGGACATCAGTCTGGAATGCCGTATTAATACAGTAGCCTGAAAATCAAATCAAAGATGCAAACATTTCCTCCAGCAACCCTAATGAAGCACAGTGTTTCCAACCCACGCCTACTAAAAAAGTAAAAAATCTCACTTCCTTTTGCTTTTTTTTTACTGCTCTTTCCTGTTGCACTTCCTGTCTTTTGTGCCGCTCACACTGCGACACCTGCCACAGCTCTGGCAGTGGTTTCAAAAATGACTCTCATGGTCCCGCTTTATTGATATTCTTTAGACACAATGTGCCAGAACAGGAAATGACAGGGGGAAAAAAACAGGAAATAGAATTGCAGAACTATTGGTTTGTTTGTTTTTCTGTTTTTTTACATTTAAGATGTGTGTTAGTTTGTCTTGTCTTGTGTGTGTGTGTGTCTGCATGCCTTGAAGAAGACGCTCCCTTGGATGTTCGTGCATGTTATTCTGCAGTTTTGCCACCGTGATTTGATCACTGGGTTGAAGGTCTTTAAAGCTGCGGTCAGTTGATCGTCTCTGGGTCGATTTTGAATTTGAACCAACTTCTTGTCTGCTCCTGTGATTAGTCTACGCCCAACATTTCCTCATGGGTGTGTTTCATCAGGGGGGGGTTGCTTTTTTTTTTTTTTTCTCTCACACAGACAGAGTGGACCACCTCTTTGAGGGGTTCTTGGTTATGATTGGACGAAATGTTGTGCCTCCCTGGAGACAGTAGTAGTTGTAGTGACTGACTGAGAAACTCGCACACTTTAATGTCCTTGACACATCCTTTTTGGACACTGATATAAATACGCAGGAGATACACAACAACAGTACAAACACAGGCACTTCCCCCCTGGGGCTGTATTATACTACTGAGTACTACACAGGTCAAATACTGTACAGATTAACAAAATAAAGTGTCTCTCCTTAAAAACACCTTAACCCAGGGGTGTCAAACATATGGCCTGCGGGCCAAAACTGGTTCAGTCGGGCCCACTTGATGAATTTGAAAGTGGAAAAAAATACACAAACACGTTTGTGATGTTTAGTCAAATTATATTTCATTAAATATGAATATATACTTGTATGTATATGTATATATTTCATGTTATTTATAGGTCATTTTGTTATGATTGTACTGGTCCGGCCCACTTGACATCTAATTGGGCTGTATGTGGCCCCTGAACCAAAATGAGTTTGACACCCCTGTACTAGCCCTTAAGTACAGTACCTCTCAATTTATTTCACATATTACCCACAAAAACATACACACATACCCATGGAAATACTCAGGAATAAAAAAAAATAGAGACAGGCAGGGTACGCTAGTCTTTAGTGACACCAACTTGTTAAGATGTGTCGTCCTCACCTCTTGATCTCCGTCTGGTTCTTTGTCTTTTCTCCCAGACCTAAATCCACTCCTACACCTACTGCATCCTTAACTGCCAATGGTGTGCCAACAGAAACGGTGGACTACGACAGACTGAAGCAGGTAGAAAAACACACATTTCACGCGCGCGAGTGGCGAGTTCAAAATTTATCGTTTGCACTGCAAAGTACTACGAAGTGAAGCGTGTATCGTATCTATATAATTTATACTGTTTATATTCAGTCATTACTTTTAAACTTTTTCTATATAGTACGTACTATAACTACTGTAAGTATACACTCCATACTGTTATAATGCAGTGTTTACCATGTAAGTCCGTAATAGAATCATACAGTGAATACTTTTATTATTCTGCAGTCCAGACTTTTATTATACATATATATTATTATATATGTCTATCCTGTGATTTAGTTTGTGCTATAAAGTACTTTAATTTTTATACAATCTGTACTGTTAGAACTCTATTTTTCAACCTTGAGGTCGCGACTCCCCAATGGGTCGCTTGGAATTCAAATGGGGTCACTTAATATGTCTAGAAATTGATTTAAAAAAAAAGACTGATAAAAAAAATTTACATTTAAACACATGTGTTATTTCACTTTCATAAATATCAATAGAATTGAAATAAAATGCAGCATAAATAACTTGAGTCGATTTTTAATAGCACAAAATGGAAGATTAGGAGTAAACACAATTAAAGAAGTCCCTTTATACACACAC